GTAGGAATACTGCCAGGAGGTGGGCCGGGAGCTGGTGATCCCCGGCGCAGCCCATGGGGATCCCCCCCCAGCTGTCACTTGGATGAAGGTAGGAGCTGCCGCTCTGGGGAACCACCTGAGTCTTCCTGGGAGGCGGATGCTGCTTTTGGCCTCTGAGACATCACTCTAGGGCAGTCCCCATATCTGTGTCCCTGCAGATGCTGCAGGATGACATCTCTTCTGGTTCCTGCAAGGGAAGGGGCTCAGGGCACTTTGCTTGTGTCGCTCTCTAAGAACTCAGTGCAAAATCCTGCCCCTCAGTTCCTAAATCAGCCCCAGGGTGGTGAATCACGTCAAGTCCCATTTTCCCCGAGGGCCCAGTGTTGCAGGGTTGTTGCAGAGCAGCTATCCCAGCTCTGCAGTGGGTGGGCTGGGTGGTCACCCACTGTCAACATGTCCGTGCCTTGCCATGCAGGTAGGCAGGCCCAGGTGGATGGGAACAGCAGCCTCGTCTTCCGCCCGCTCATCAAGGAGCAGCATGGGGTCTGGGAGTGTACGGCCGCCAACCAGGTGGCCAGTGTCAGCACCACCACCTCTGTCCACGTGCTGGGTGAGTCACCGGTCCCAGATGGGTAGGCATTGTCCGTGGGTGCTGGGCTGCCCTGGGGTAGATGGTACAGGGCAGAAGGGGTGGAAAGGCCCTTGCACCGCTGTTGTCCAAGCTGCCTTGTCTGATAGGTCTCTCTGCTTTCCCTGCCAGGTACCAGTCCTCACGCTGTCACCAATGTCTCCGTGCTCCCGCTCCTGCTGGCAGCCAACATCTCCTGGGAGCCCGGGTTTGATGGAGGTTACTTCCAGAGGTTCAGCGTCTGGTACACACCACTGTGAGTCCCTGCAGTGGGCAGGATCTGGTGTCCCACCTGGAGCCCTCAGCTCTGGACTCACAGGTCCCACATCTCCTCAGGGTGAAGCATCCACCCCGGGCCCATCATGACTGGGTGTCGCTCTCGGTGCCAGTGGGGTCTCAGCACCTCTTGGTGGAGAATCTGCAGCCAGACGTGAGCTACCAGTTCAGTGTCCTGGCCCAGAACAAGCTGGGCAGTGGCCCCTTCAGCCAGATTGTCACCTCTGCACCCAGGGGTAAGAGGGGGGCCCGCACACTCCCCAAAGCAGCCCCCGTGTCTTCAGAGCCCTCATGCACATGGGAGGCTCCTGTTTCTGTCCTGCTCCCCCTCTGCATCAGCTCCCACGCCAGCATCCCCTTTCTCCTCAGGCTTCCCAGTGACCACAGTGCCTCCAGAGCCGCCGGCCATGACCATGCGCATCTTCTTGTCCCCGCCGCAGGCTCTGACTGCCAACGAGACTCTGCGTGGGGTCCTGCTGCAGTGGGAGCCCCCAGCTCAGTTCTCGGTGGCGCTGAGCGGCTATGCGCTGGAACTGCGGCAGGACAAGGGCAGCTGGGAGGTGCTGGACCGCTCCATCCCCAGCACAAAGACCCAAGTCCTGGTACCAGGACTCATCAAGGTGAGAATCTCACCAGATGCCTCCTGGCTGCAAGGCAGCTCTGGGGGGGACACATCAAGGGAGGGGGAGAGATCTGCATCACACTACCTGGAGCTGGGGCATCTGGTGATGATGCAGAGCTGCTTGGCTCTGCAGCCATGTGGGCTGAGAATTGGCTGGCCACTGTGCCAACAAGACTAATGGCCCTCTGTTCCCCCAGGACGCCTTCTATGAGTTCCGACTGGTGGCCTTTGCTGGCAGCTACATCAGTGATCCAAGCAACACGGTGAACGTCTCCACAGCTGGTAAGGCCTGGGCTGCGACCCACTTGCTCTTCCTGCCCTGCGGACAGAAACCAGAAGTGTAAAGTGCCCAGTGTGCCTAGGGTCTTCCCAAACAGAAACCCCTTCATGCTGCTCCCACCCCCAAGTGTTCCTGCTGCTAGACCAGGGCACAGAGTGCCCAGAGCAGGACCCCCAAAGCTAACGTGGGAACACCCATCTCCACATGCGCATCTGGCGTGACTTCAGTCTCATGGACCAGGTAGCAGGAGAGCTCTGCACAAAGTATCCCTGCTCCTGGTGCCTGGCACAGTGGAGGGTCCGCCCCAAGGCAGAGCAGCCCCAAGAGGCAAGAGAGCTGAGGCTTTGCTGTTTATCCCTGTGGTGCTGGTGATGTGAGGGAGGCTGTGCCCGCTGTGCTGGTGTGCCCAGAGGGTAACCAAGCCTCTGACGGCGTCTCCTGTCTGGCCCAGGCATGGAGGTGTATCCGTCTCGTACCCAGCTGCCAGAGCTCCTGCCGCAGCCGGTGCTGGCTGGGGTCATTGGGGGGATCTGCTTCCTCAGTGTGGCCATCATCTTCAGCACCATGGCCGCCTGCATCATGAACCACCGGCGTGCCACACGCATCCAGAAGCGAAGGCAAGGTAGGAGCTGCCAGCTGGGTGCAGCCACCTGAATCCTGGGGTTCCCGGGGAGCTCAAAGCAACATGTGCAGGGTGGCAGGACCTGGTGCCCAGGGAGTGGACAGGCCAGCCACAGGCTGGGGGACTCACCAGGGGCGGTAGTAGGGCTGAATGGGTGCTGGTGTCTCCTCATCATCACTTTGAGTTGCTTGCCGTGTGATCCCCTTGTGTTCTCATGACCTTCCAGATCCACCACTCGTCTTCTCCCCCAGCAAGAAGCTTCCACCTCCACAGTAAGTCATGGCATGCCATGCTCCTTCCCCATCCCGCTCCTTCCCTGTCTCGCAGCGCTCCCCATCATTCACTCACTGCTGGCTGGGCACAGAGGGACAGACCAGGGGGCAGTTGCCCCCCCAGCCCACCGCCATCAGCCAAGGGCTGGCCGCAGAGGGGGCATTAGGAGCGGGCTGCTGGGGACAGGGAGTGCTGTGGGGTAGGGCTCCCCCAGGGTGCTCCTTCTGGGGAGTTTTGGCTGAAGAAAGGATCAGAAAGTGCAGGAGCAGGTCTGTTGAGCCTGCAGCAGAAGCGCAGGGTCATGGTAACTGCTGCCAGATGCCTGGCACAAGCTCTCCCGGCACAGGGGGCAGCTGGACAAGCCCAGAGCCAGGAGAGGGGTGCTGCAGCAGCTCTCTCCTTTCTTACAGCAATTCTCGTGGCTCTGGTAGCCCAGACAGTACCATGAAGCTGAAGCTGCAGCCGTCTCCCTGCCGGAGCCTGCGCAGGACACTGCTGGGGGGCGAGAAGGCCGGCACCAGCCTGGGTCGTCTCAGCATCGCCGGGGCTGGCTCCCAGTACACCATGTACGAGAGCCACGTTGGGGAGCACGTGCCCCTGGAGCGGATCTGCCGCGGCCCCGATGGGCGCTTCGTGGTGGAGACCGACACGCGGCCACAGGAGAGTGGCTTTGGGGTGCTGCCCTACACTGAGCCAGAGCC